CTGTGGCCAAGAACCCCAGAGATCCTGGGGTGCACTGGGAGGAGCCCTTGCAGCAGGCCAGGGAAGGGATCCTGCCCCTCTCCCAGCCCTGGGAGGCACATCTGGAGTGCAGTGCCCAGCTCTGGACTCCAGAGAGACAGGGAGCTCCTGCAACTGGGCCAGCTGAGGCTGCAGGGAGATGAAGGGATTGGAGCATCTCTCTTATGAGGGAAGGCTGAAGGAGCTGGAGCTGTTCAGGCTCAAGAGGAGATGCTGAGAGGGGTCCCCATCCCTGTCTGTGCCTGTCTGCAGGGAGGGCTCAGAGCAGGGCCCAGGCCCAGCAATGGCACAGGAGGAATGGGCAGGAATGATCCCAGGAAGCTCCCCCTGGACATGAGGCAGAACTTTTGTGCAGTGACCAAACCCTGAAGAGATTGTCCATAGAGGCTGTGGGGTGTCCCTCCCTGGGGTATTCCAGAACCATCTGGACACAATCCTGTGCTTCTCTCTCTTCTTGTCCCTGCTTAATAAGGGAGATTGGACCACGTGACCCTCTGTGGTGCCTTCCAGCCTGACCCATTCTGTGATCCTGTGATTTCTTCTCATCCTTCACTCAGATTTAAATGAACAACCTGCATTCCCCACAGATATCAAAGATGGTACTGAGAATGTCTCCTAAGTGCAGTGCTCAGCCTGCTCCCTTAAGCAGCAGAGGTGGACAGATTGCCTTGGGGCACTGCTCAACCCTCCTGAGGTTCACAAAGGCTCTGCCTCAGGCAGACCAGGCTCCTCCTCTACACACCCCCAGACAGAGCTGAGAATGGTGGAGAGCTGCTCTCCCTTGTTTCACCACCAAGCAGAATTTGACTCTGAACTCTCAGCTCAGCCCCACTGTTCACCCATCCCTTCCCTGAGCTCCTCACAAGTGTTCAGAGCAATCCCCCCGCTGCTGCTCTGAACAGAATGTTCTGTAGGTCACTGCATCTCCCTCCAACATCAGAACATGAACATGTTTGCATGCCTCCTCCAGAGGAGCCAAAAACAACAGGGAGAAATTGCCCTCTTGTAAAAGGGACTGAAGCCAGTATTTAGCTTGGCTTTACCTATTACCCACATCTGGCAAGAAAATTCTGCTCCATTTGGCTTCCAGACTGTGGCACATGTGGATATCAGGAACAGGTATCTGCTGGGCATGAAACTCAAAACAGAACTCATGCAGACCATGGAAGTAACTGCCAGGGTGGATTTCCAGAAATTGGGTTTATTTGATCTAAAGACTGAGTAGCTGTGATTAACAGCAAAGTTTACCTACATAAAAGTTGCACAAACAGAGCTTATTGGATTTTTTTCCTTGCTTTTAAATAATATCCTCCCCTGGAGCCTGATGTTTTAGTGAGGGAATTGATGGTCTCTCCAGTGCAGGATGAAAAAGTGAGGGCAAAGGCTGAGGTTTCACCAACTACAGCAGCACTGTCAGACCTCACTCTGTAAGACACCACAGAAAACCAAAGAATTGTAGGAAACAGGGTTGGGGAAAAATCTGAGAGGTCAATTAGTTCATCTTCCTGCCCAATGCAGGACCAACTGGCACCAACAATTCTCGACAAATGTTTGTTAAATATGCTTTTATCTGCTCCCTCCCCCCATAATGGTGCCTCTGCCATTTCCCCAGGCTTTAACTCCCCCTAAGCTCCCAGAATGATGCTGAGGGGCAGCCTTGGAGGTCAGAAGAGAAGAGGTGGCACATTGTTCAGTGAACTTCTGCCCAAGGCCACACCACAAGCTGTGTCTGTGCTGCCCCTGGCCAGGCCAGGCTTTGCTGTCCCACTCCTCAGAAAGATGAGCCCAGCCTAGAACTGACACAGCCATGCCCCATGGGGGACACCCATGGCCAGGCCCTGCTGTTATCTGCAGCAGCCCCAGGCTGCTGATTCCATGGTCCCACCAGGATGTGATTCATGTGTGCCCCTGCTCCACCCAGCTGGCATGCTCATCCCACTGAGCCTGGCCCCAGGACACCTCCTCCCCCAGGACAGGGATTGCCACTCACTGAGATTCTGCAGGAGTCTGGTAACCTCAGTCTGAATTTGCTCTACAAAGTGCCACTGCAAGAGAGGGGTCTGATGGCAGCAAAGAATTACTGCCCAGTTCCTCTGGAGCATAAAGGCAAGGTGAAATATTTAACTGCAATGAGTCTGTGGTCATGTTCCCTCTGAAACCTGCAGTCATGACACCCAAAACCCTGACCCAGGAGCCAGACACTGGGGTGTCACCACATGTGCACGTAGGCTATGCCCTCAAAGGAAAAAGACTTCCATTTGTGGGATGTTCCCTGGTTTATTGTGTTTCCAGAACAACAACCCTGAGTTACTGCTCCTCACACATCTTCCCAAAGCTGTGGGTTCTCATGAGGTGGAACTTTTAAGTGTAGGAAAACAAAGCACTGCCCTAAGGAATCAGGAGTACCCAAAGGCCTGCTCATAGCCCTGCAATGTGATGTGCACATGCCCAGAAAGGAGGTCTCTAACATGGGATAAAATGCATTATTTAAGCTTCTGTTTGCTGTTGTTGAAAAGAAACCCTCTTCCAGTGGGAAGAAACCTGGATTGAAATGAGTCATTCCTGGAGAATTCAACGGCAGGCTTTTCCCAGGAGGCTGTCAAAGAATGCCCAAGATTAGAAACCTGACTGCATTCAAAGGCAAAACCCAGTGGACACTTTGGTATCATGAGGTACCTATTGTAAAAGAATAGGAATTTTCTTTGTGGAGCAAATCTCTATTGAAACAGAAGGGAGAAAATAATAAATGGGGGGGGAAAAAAGAAGAAAGGTCTCTTCAAGACCTCTCTCTCCATTCATACTGGAATCAAAGGCTCATCTGCAATTAATACTTGAACAAGCCAGCTGCCAGGGCAGATCTAAAAGGATATGTGTTTAAAAGCCCATCTCTGCCATTTGGCCCTCTCCTCCCTCCCAAAGCCAAACCCACCCTGAGGCAGATGCCTCACAGGAAAACACTGAGCACACCAGAAGAGATGCCAAGGATTTCCCCCTTCTGCTAACAGCCCTCAGCAGGACCCTCCTTCCACACACACTGCTGGGCTCAAAAGTGGGGAAAACACAGAGGCTTATGTGATGAATGATGGAGGAGAAAGCCCTCCTAGCCTTAAAATGTAAGGCTTGCACAGGGAGGGTTTCTTGGCTGCTTTCATGTGGCCACAGGGGCTGCTGGAGGAATGCTCAGTGATGCACATTTCAGTGCAGACCCAGCCACAAGAACGTGCTTGTCGTGCTGGGGGTTTGGGTGAGACAAATCAGGGCTGGAGAAAAGAACACTGTGAGCAGCACTGTCCCTCCTGCTCTGCACTTCACGCTCCTGCAACTGCCCCCAGGTGGGGAGGCTGCACATCCCTGATGGAGCGAGGGGGAAAGACAATGTTCCTCATTTGGAATCACTCTGACAAAGGAAAATCCTGCCTTGAAGGCTGAGTGTCCATCTGAGCTGTGTTCAGACAACAGCTCTTGTGCACTCATTAGCTAGGAACCATAAATAAGGTTATTTTTCTTCACATCCAAGTAAAACACAAAATCAGGGCCTTCAGAACAAACCACTGCTCAATTCTGAAGCTGGCAGCAGGCACCCCAAAAGCAGGAAGGAGAAGAATACCTCATTGTTCACACAGACCAAGTCCATCGTCTGCCCAAAAGCATCTGTGACCTTCTGCACCACCTCCTTGAATCTGACTGGTCTTGGAAACTGGATAATCCTGTACACACAAACAAATACAACACTCAGTTTAGCAGAAGCATACTGGAATTTGGTGTTTGACTGACAACAGAAGAAAGGACTTGTGTTCCATCACAAAGCATGAAGACTGCTCCTTGCCTTTACACTCACAGAAATGCTGCTCCTCTGCTGTGCCCAAGAGGGGACCTGACAACTCTGCAAGAATATCTACCAAAAATCTTTGTGCAGATCCCTTTGCTCCTCCCTCCAATGTGAGTACAGGTGGAAAAAAAGGAAGTCCAGCAGCCTTCCACTGGAGAAAACCCAGATCAGGCAATGGTCAGTGATTTATCACCTGTTTTCAGCAAGAAGCTCTAAATAGGAAGTGGGGACTCATCCTATTACTCTCCTGTACCATCACACACAGCACTTCTATAGGTACTCACAGCAGGTACAGTCTAGCCCTAAAATAACATTACTTCAATTTTCTTTGGCTTTAACATGCACCTTGGACCATCAGCCTGTGTCCTGCCCTGTCCCAGTCACCAAGCAGAGGTGATTCCATGAAAATGTCAAGCAGGGAAGGGCGGACAAGCCTTAACTCCCAGCCCTATTTTTATGGGACCCATGCCCAAAATCTGGTTATCTTAAGTAAGTGTCATGGACTGCTAATCAAAGGACACATTTCTGTAGAGTTCCAGCTCCTCTGTGGTTCAGCAGGGCTCAAGAATTAACAAGAGAAAAGGATCCAAATGTGCACCCAATGTCCCTGGTAAAAGAGGCATTTAATGACTTCCAGCTTGGAACCATTTTGCCTGCCTGCAAATCCCAGGAGCTTCTTGTGGCAAATGGGATGATGAGGCAGGGCTCTTGCTTATAAAAGTGCAGCTGATTTTAGGAGAATGAATCCTGCTGTGAGCTCAGCTGCAGCTGGCTGAAGTTAGCAGGACAGTGCTGGGTGGAAAAGGTAATTTTTCCCTGTGTTCACAGGGGACTGGAGTAGGTACCTACCTTTTCTCTCCTTCATATTCAAACTTGATCCTGACATTTCGCTGCTGAAATAAAAAGCAGAGAATGGTGAGCTCCCAAAGTGCATCCTGGACTGACCCACAGACCCAAAGCTGACAGGAGTTCTCAGGGAGAGTTCTCCTCACTCTGTAAAGCATCTGGTTTGTTTAGGCCAAGCTGCCTGGTGGATTCACAGCCTTTGGAGACACTCCATATTGCTGAGGAATGTGGTTGCCAAAAAATAAGTTCTTCTGTAAGCAAGAGGACACTCACCTCTATAACTGTCAGTTTTAATAATATTAATTAATGAAGCTGAAAATTGTTCTGAACTCTTGGGAGCAAGGCACTATTATCAGAGGCCAATATGGCAAGTGTCTGATGCCTGTCCACCTTCAGTGCTTCCCATGGTAGCACCCCAGTACTTTTCTGTTGGAAACCCAAAAAACCAAAGCTCAGAGGATGTTTACTAATACACAGGAATATCTGGGATGAAGAATTAAGAAGTAAAAGCAAGCATTCTCAAATGGAAGTGGAGACGGTCTAAAATTTTAAAGCCAACAGTGCTGGGATGGTTGAAGAGCTGGTTGCTATTTTGTTGGGACATACAAAATGCAAAGTGTGTCAGGCCCAATACACAATGCCCAGCCAATACCCCCCTAAACTGACCCATTGCTTTGGTTGAAGGGCTGGTTGCTATTTTGTTAGGACCTACAAAATGCAAAGAGTATCAGGCCCAATATAAAATGCAGCAAATGCTCCCCCTGAACTGACCCACTGCTCACCTCAAGAGAAACCACAAAATTTGCCCAAGGAAGAGCCAGTGGAATCACAGGCACACTGGGCACACAGCTGTGCAGGAACCAGTAAAAACTACTTCTCCCATGCTCTATTTGTGCATATTTAGCAGCAATCAAGACCACAAGGAACTTTTTCATTCCTTCAGCTTCTCAGGCCAACTGTGAGCCAAGCATCCCTCTAGTATCCCTCAGATCATTCCAGGACTTTCCGACAGTCTCCAACACAGATCAAACCCCTCTTTACTCCCCTGACCAGGTCTAGTCAGCCCACTTAACCAGCATTTTCCTCCCCACAGTGCCCACCAGCCTCCTCAAACAGCTCTCTTCCCATGCAGAGAGGAGTGCTGGCCACCTCCCTCCGAGGTGTAACCCTGGGGAGGGCTCGGTCCCGTCTCGCAGGGATAACTCCCAGCTGGGTGGGTGACAGCCCTTCCTGAGCACAGCACTTATCTCTGGGCCTGGGCTGCCAGTGTGTGAAGGCACACTTTCCATCCTCTCAGAGGGAAAGCAGAGCTGCAGTGGAACAGCTTTGTTCCCAACGAGGAAAATGAGGAAAAGGAGCTGGAGCGGTGCCCTCGGGTTTGTTTTTCAACCGACAGCTCCTCAAGTTCTGCAAACACCCACTGAAATTCAGGAAGTCCAGGCTGGAGGCAATTCTGTTGAAAAGCTTAAACAGATTCAGGGTAAACAGGCTGGATCACCCCAAATGCATCCCTGTTATCTCTGCTCGTGGCATTTTCTGTGCTTCCGGAAGGGCTGGGAAGAGCCGGCGCTGGGACAGTCACCAGTGGGGCACTCCAGCAGTGATACAGGCCTGTGCTAAACAGGCACTTACATCACATCTCTGGCTAGAGCCAGGGCTCCAGACCCACAAAGTTTGGAGAGTCTCCAGGTTCACTGCCAGAACCAGGCCCAACTTGTAAAAACACCAGATTAATTCTAAACCAGTCTGAAATTGCAAAGGAGAAGAGATGATCATAACCAACCTAGTGCTGAAGGTTCAAATCATTCTGGAGAGACAGGCAAATACAGGTGGGATGGGGGCCTTGGATTATTTGGGCTGGAAAAGAAAAGATACAGGCTCTTTCATGCCAATTTTTATTTGCACGTGCCTCTCTGAGCAGGCCTGGCTGGTTTATTCCTCCTGAATGCTAGCAATAAATTGGCCGGTGTGGGTTCACTGACTATAACACCACAAAACCTTTCTCTAAAAAAAGAGAGATTAAAAAAAAAAAATCAGGGCAAGGAACTTTTGAGGTTTCTCCTTACAAAGAGCAGGACGTGGAAGGGGAAGAGCTCACACAGCTCTGGCCTCACTGCAGGAAACCTTTCAAAACACAGGTTTCACTTTCAGCACAGCCCCAAACACTGCACGGAGCTGGGATGCAGCACACGCTGCCTTGGTTGTGCTGAGCAGCACAGATTTTCACAGACAAACAAGTTTTGAAAAACAGCTTGTGGCTGGAAAATGTCAGAACACTTGTCTAAAGCTCCAGAGAGAGAAGAAAACGAAAAAAAATGAGCCACGACCTGCTGCATCCTTTTCTTCTACATCAACAACAAGGCTGATGTGCCGTGGCCCGGCGCCAGCAGAAGGACGCCAGCTGCCCCACACGGCTCTGCTCTGCCTCTGAGCAGAGCTACAAACACACTGCCTGCAACAGGGAAATGAAAACCCACTTCATTTCTTAATTAGATAACATTTTTCTTTAATATGAAACACAATAACCTCTTGCCTTCCTCCAAGAAACCAAGACCTTTAGCTTGCAAGCATTTGGAAGAGGGATAAATTCGTATTTATCAGTCTGAGAAGTTGATTACAGTTTAATTTTTCAGGCTTCTCTTGGCTCGCTCATGTTTTTGACCTACAGCTCAAGCTGAATTCATCATTGCTATCAGCAACAAATACTTTTTTCCTTTTTTAAAGAAAAAAAAAAAAAGAGTGGGCAGTGCCCAAAGTACTAGGAAATCTCAGGGGATGCAAAGCACTTCCTAAATGCTGGAGCAGGCTGTGATTTTTTACACCCATGGAAGTCTGGTTTGCAGCAACTGGTTTAAGATTACACAGGGAGCCTGGGGCACTGCCAAGTGCTGGAGCAGAACCTCGTGTGAGTCTGCACCCAACATCTCAAATGAACAACCAGGGGGAATGCAGGACCAGCACCTTCCACATCAGGAACTGAACACAGCGTGCAAATGTTGAGCTGGAAGAGGTGTGGGTCATGGAAGCTGCTGGATCCTACTCACTTTTGCAATTTTGTGAGGAATGTGACTCCCCTTGTACAACCCAGGTTGAATTATTCACTGTCCCTGCCATCAGGTGTCACATGAGGTCAAGGGCAGCCCTGCTCTCCTTCAGCCAAAAGGTCCTCAGTGGGTGTAGGAGAACAAGCCGAGACAGCCAAAGGCTTGTGTTAAATACAGAGCAGGAGAGGGGTAAGGACAGCCACAGGCACCAGCCTTAAACCCTGGCAGAACATTTAAACAATACTTTACCTGAACTCTGGCAGAGCATTTAAACAATATTTTCACCAGCACTCTGAGAGCTCAGGCAGGTAATGGAGCCAACAAGGGAAACTGAGGCACAAAGACAGGAAGGGTTTTGGTTAAGGGTGTGAAGAGAAAGCCCAGCCTGGGGAGGAGAAGGCTCCATGGAGACCTTCTTGCAACATTTCAAAATATAAAAGAGGCTTTATAAAATGGAGAGAGACTTTTCACCAGGTCCTGTAGTGACTGGATGAGGGCAACACTTTTCAACAGCAAGAGGCTAGATTGAGGCTGGATATAAGGAAGAAATTTTCTACCACTGGGTTGCTGAGACACTGGCACAGGTTGCCCAGAAAAGCTGTGGGTGCTCCATCCCTGGACATGTTCAAGGCCAAGCTGGATTGAGCAATGTGGTCTAGTGACATGTCCCTGCCCACAGCAGACAGCCTGGCCCTTAAAACCCTTCCCAGCTCAAACCATTCTGTGGTTCACTCTCTGGGGCAGCACAGGGGTAAAGGGAAGCACAGAATGAAGGTGTTTGGCCCCTGGGCTTTGAGCACTGAGCAGTTTTCCCTCTGTGTGTGTGTGTGTTTCACAGAGGAGCCCACGGCCCCGCTGGCGCCTGCAGACCCCGCTGCGACACAAACAAAACCAGCGACAGCCCTGACAGGAAATACCACAGCCATTCCCTTCGTTTCTACAATAATTTCTCCTCCAAAATACTTGCGCTGGCATTTCCTCCAGCCCTGCAAACAAATGGGATTTCACTCCTTCTTGCCATATTCCTCCGAAAGGAAAAAGCAAAGCCGCTGCTGTGGCCACAGAGCCATCACCATCCTTCCAGGCTTTCCTTGAGGTATTTTTGGCTCTTTCCTCAAAACTTTGGATTTTACAGAGAAATGACCACAACTGCCAAGCTTCAGAGAGGGAATTCAGATGGGAATACGGGGAGAAAAGGGGCAACTGCTTTTGCCTTTTGGCTAGGGTCCATGTACCCCAGCAGGCTGGGCCAAGCTTGGCCCTCAGAGCAGGAGCAACAGCCCTGTGTGCTGGTTTAGATTAAGGAAAACGTTGGAAAAAAACTGAAAAAGTGTTTCCAAATGAGGTGAATCATGATCTTATAAAGAGATCCCTGAAGAGCTGACTGCTGTTTGTAATAAAAGCACACACGGAGAGCAGGAAAACAGGCAGCTAGTCCTAAAATGGAAGCGGCTCTGGAGAAGCAGAAGATGCTGAGCACCCTCTCTGCTGAACAGCCAGGGGGTTGCTCAGATTGGGGTACAGATCCAAGCTGAGCCTGTGGAGAAGGCTGTCTAATGGCAGAGGCAGGCCCTGCACCTCCATGCCTGTCTGTGCCACTGAAAAAACTATAACTGCCACTCTGGAAAATCCCAGACTAGCACAAATTCAAAGGTTCCCCCTGTCACATCCTCTCCTCCTCCTAAACTCTGCTGCCATCAGAAACAGTGCTCTGTCCAGACCCCACTTCTGTGGCTTGTTTTAGACCTGCTCCTGTCAAACCTAACCAGAGCACAGCTTTGCCCATGCTGAGACATCACCAGGATGGGGCCTTTAGAGCACTTCTTCCACCCAAACCCACAGCTGCCTCCCAAACCAACTGGGACAACGCCTCTGACTTCAGCATTAACCCTTCTGTGGTCAGGAAGGCAGGAAAAATCATCGCAAGGGGCCTCCTATTCCCTTTGGTGCTGCTCACTCCAGCCTTGCTCATACCCATCCACAAGATTTTGGGCACTTATTTTGCCTCAGTTTCCCGCCTGGGTAACACAGGGGCAATGAAATACACTCACTTTTGTGGGTGTATTTCATTGCCCACACAGGGACAATGAAATATACTCACTTTTGCATGCTACAGGGTAATCAGAGGGTTTGTTTTCACTTCTCTCATTTTCTACTCACTGGATTAGGAAACAACGAGAAAACCCCAAAGAGCCGCGCTCGAGTCACTCCCTTCGTACAAAGCCACAAAGCAGTGGGATTCCTCCTCAACTCCTGGCTCTGGCTGAGAGGAATCAGCACCACAGGGCCAGGCTGGGGGGACTCCTACACTTCCCCAAGGTGCAGCTCGTTTGCATCAGCCCAGCCCTCAGTTCTTACACACCAGACAGCTGGAGCGCGGCCCCGACCGCAGAGGAGATGAGTAACGCACGGCACTGGGAATTATCTGCACAGAACCCCCACACACACTGGGTTATTCAGCAATCAGACAGAAAGCAGCTTGTCTGGCACTGCCCCTTCATCATTGCAGGGGGAGAAGGCACAATATATCCCAGTCTCCCCGGATCCTTGCAGCTTTTTTTTCCTCTGAAAGCACCTGAGCAGTTCAGAGGACAGTGATGATGTCTAGAAGGTTCATTGCTGCCTGTTGCAGACACTTCAGTTTCAGACAGCAGCAGAAATCACAGGCTTCAAAGTGTTTATCTAAAACCACCCACCTGGCAGGGAAGAGCTTTTTTTCCAGCTGGATTTCTCACTGGTATCACCCTCTTCACACCCAAGTCAGCTTCACATGCAGACATGGGAAAGCCTCTTAAATCCCTGGGACTCCACTGCCTTTGCCATCTCCAGCCAAGGCTTTCCCAGTCAGTGATTTGCCCCCTTGTTTCTGCTCCCCAGATGACGAAATCCCTGCAGATCCCCTCCTAGAGACTCCCATCTTCCTCCATCCACACCATATCCTCCAGGTGATAAAGCCAAACTCCTTTTTAGGCTGCTCAAAGACCCACAGAGAGCCCTACAGAATGAGCTGCATTTTACTGGAGTTAGGAGCAAGCCTTTTCTTGCATCCAGCCTGCCAAGGAGAACAGTCCAGAGGTAATTTACTAAAAGAATAACTTTTAGGACAGTGTGACATTTGATGTACATGGAGAAACATTTCCTACAAACATTTAATTGCCATGGGAGAACTTGCCATGGTGATTAAGGTGGCAGAGGAGCTGCTGGCTGTCACTGGCTGTGACAGAGGCCCACTGACAAGCAGCTTCATACTGCCAGTTGCCAAGTGCTATTTATAGAAATGAATGGATATGCACATAAATAGATCCAAAATAAATGCTAATTTAATTGCTCTCTTCTCCCTCCATCCTTTTGTTCAGGATTTCCTAATTATTTGGGGTTTCCCTTCTTATTCCACTTGTCTTTTTCCTTAATGAACACAACACTGATCTTCATTCTCCTGTTTCCTTCTTAAGACACATTTCTATGAATAAACTCCCTTGTTCAGTCTGAGAAATAGCCTGGAAGGGTTCCTTCCAGCCATGCCAGAGGATGAACAAGGAATAACAGAGTTATCCTATAGCAGAATCATGCTGTTATTAAAGGAGTAATGGAGGAATACCAGTGCAGGAGCTGCACCAGGAATAATGTCAGAAGGACCCCTCTGCTCCCAAAGAACAGCTCTGCTTTATCTCACACAGGGAAGGAAAAGGGTTTCTATGGCTGTCTCTGTAATTCCCACAAGGCAGAGAGGCAGGACAAGGCAGTGGCTGCCACACCTGACCAGGACTCAGGGATTCCAGCTCAGGCATCACATCTGCTGCCAGCTACCTGAGAATTCAAGGGAGGAAAATCAACCATGCCATCCTGTTCTAATTTCCAGCCTGTTCTGCCACGAGGCACTGCACACCCAGAAACTCAGTCTTCACCCTAAACTCATTTGTGAGGGAAAAAAACTAAGAAAAGAAATATTTTTATGAAATTTGCCAAAGGATGTTCATTTCTTAAGATGAACTGAAGCAAAACTATTGATATTTTGGGAAAGAAACATTTTGGAGCACAAACAACCACAGGCTGTTTTCTTGTGTGGCCCAGGCCTACGAGGAATACAATCTGGCAGGATTCAATCTTCAACTTGTGTCAAGAGAGCACTGAGGAAGCCCTCCAGGAGACAGGAATGAGATAGCACTTCAGTTGTGCTTCTCTGTGTACCAAAAACTGCTGCAAGCCACAGAGAACTGCCTAGTTAGCCAAGACATTCTTGTTGTGAACTCTGTCTTCCAGTGGAAATTTGGAACACTGACCAAAGGATTCCCATGCCTCAGAAAAAACATTTTTCCACAGAAAAAGAAATATTATTTTATTAATCTACTAACTGAACTCCCAAACCCAAGTAGTTCAATGTGAGCATGTTGCTGCAGGGCCTCCTGAGAGGCACCAACAATAAGATGACCAAGAGGACATTTTATCACCAAAATGGCTCTGTGACTCTTTCCCCTCTCAAGAAGGGAACTGTGCAGGGCATCCTTCAGCCCAGCTGCCCAACCTAATCACAGGATTAGGTAAACCATAAAAATCACAGGATTAGGCAAACAATAAAAAGGGAAAACCAAGTACCAAAGGAACAGCAAGCACGACAACAGCACCTCCAAAGCAATCTCCCGCCCACATCAACTTCTGCTCTAAAAAACCAATGAAAAAAACCCCTAAAAGTGACCCAAACAAGCTGATTAAACTGAGCTAGAAACATGAACCAAGTTCCCACTAATTCCACCTCCTCTGGCCGCTCCCCACCTCCCGCAGTGCCTCGAGCCAGACGTGTTCCAGCCAGTCCAATTCAGTGAGGCAACAACTGAACATCCTCCAACGCCCTGCACCTCCTGGGACCTGCTGGTCTGACCCCTCAGCTCCGGATGTGTGGGGAGAGCAGGATCCTCACCATCCTCATCTCCTCCATCAGGGAGCTCTGAGCAACCCTGAGCACGCAGCTCCACTCGTGGATAAAAAGAAAAATCATAAAGGAGGAAGTGTTTTTCCTAGAAGCAGTGCTCAAAAAGGAAGGAAAGTTTGATTCTTATATAGTAAAATATAATAAAATTCCTGTAATAAAATTAAATTCAACTGGCAGCTGATATCAGAGCACGGCATACCTCCATGGGTGATTCATAAATAAAGATGCAGAGTGAATGGGCAGTGGGTGTGGATTTGATTGCACAATGCCAAACTTCATGCAGATAAGAATTCAATCAATGAAAACTACAATTTTCCTTATTTTTGATTAATTATCTGGTTAAGCATGTATGTGCTGCATAACAGCCCAGGTCTCAAAAACAACAGCACGGATTTTCCCCCCAGTGCAAAACAAATGTTTTAAGAGGAGCCTGAAAAGCTTTGCTACCCTGAAATCAACTGGAGCTGGCTCCTCACTGTCCCCACCCATCACTGTGCACAAGATGCTGCCCTTGCAGCCATCCAAAGCTGCTCTGGGCTTTCTGCTTCTCCTGCAGCTGCAGGGAGCCAGCCCTGAGTTTCTCTGGTCACTTCTGTAAACATCTTGGACTTTTTTCAGCATGAGCTGAACACAAACCTAGTGATTCAACTTGGCCAGCTGCTCCTGCCAGGCCACGCTTTGAAACCAGACGTGCGCACGTGTTTTCGTCTGCATGTGGCTGGGGAGCCCACAGGGATTCTGGAAGGGATTTTTCCTCCCTGCACCCAGACTGCTTTGTTTGTAGCACAAGTGACATTAAAACATGCATGACGACAGCAAATGACAATTTGTTTTCTCCCTTGCTAGGCACCCAGCAGTTGCAGTGTTGATTGCAATCTCATTCGAAACCATGGCACTTGAGGTGGAATTCCACATGGATTTGCTGCCATGCTTCTCCAGCAGCTCCCCAGTTTTCCCAATCTTTTTCTCCCTTTTTTCCTTGCTATTTTGATAACTCAACTCTTTCTTCCCAACTTTCATGTTCTCATATTATTTGCTCCATAGACAAACATGCTATTAAATCCACTTCAGCTATTGTATTGATGTCAGCAAATAATTTCTGACCTTGCTCAAGGGACAATGTTTTTTGCTCACCAAAACAACTCTGAATGTGCAACATGGCCAAAATGTTTAGGAGCATAAAGATAAACAGCAGTAATTCATAATTAAACACTTTATATAAGAATGACATTATTCCTCCCCAAAGAGCCTGGGTGTCTACAGCTCAGAATTGGCAGTCTGTCTTTCAAATATCTGAAGCAAAATGTGCACATAATAAATATTGTATTTCATTAACGCTGTCAATAGAAAACAATTGACTTATCCAAGCCCTAAAGCTGCACAGCCTGAAACAAGTTCTGCTACTTTCAGAGCTAAACAACAGCTGGAAGTGCCTTGAGGTGAGACTTGACATTTAAACCCAGTTTCAGGCCCTGTGGTTATATTTGAATAATTTGGGGCATTACCCTTCTATGCTCCTCAGTGATATAGGGATGTCTGTAACTTCCTTTCAGCTCTTCAAAAAGAGGTCACAAACTTTGAAGATTGGTAAAATGATGATATTTCTGATGTGCTGAGCACTTGTTAACTTCAGTTCTAACATTCAAACTGTGCTCTGCCAGCATGGCAAGCACCATGCCCTCCTCTGCGTCTGCTGGAGTTTGGGGTGGCCTGAAGGAGCAAAGCCATACCTGTTTGTTGGAGTGGACACTGGTTTTATTCCTGTTGTTGTCCAGCAGCCCCCCACACTTGCCCAACGCTGCCAAATCCTTCATAATAGAGTTCAGAGCTTCTTCTTCATCTGCAAGAAAAGAAGAGACAACTGAAGCGTGGAAAGCAACCCGGCCCTCAGATGTGCAGAGTGAAAATACAGCACTGCAAATACAAACTTTCAACACAAATGGATCAAAAGACACAATGCTAAGCTTTCCTGTTAAGAGAGGCATTCCAAGACCACACCACAGTCTCTCCCAGCCCAGTCTGTCTTGAAAACACAGGTTCCTTCATCACAGGGGAGACAGATAATGAGATCTCATTGTCCCCTGCAAGAAAGCTGCAGAAGGACTCTCAATAAGGACATGCACACAAGAAAATGCCGTTAAAATGAAAAAGGGCAGGTTTAGATTAGATATTAGAAAGAAATTTTCCCCTGTGAGGGTGGTGAGGCCTTGGCACGGCTGCCCAGAGAAGCTGCCCCATCCCTGGACATGTGCAAGGCCAGGTTGTATGGGGCTTGGAGGAACCTGGGCTAGAGAAGGGTGTCCTTGTCTTTCCTCCCTCTTCATTGAAGGTGCTCAAGAGCCACAACTGACCTTCAAAACCAGAAGCCGTGAGAAACCAGGGGAGAGGGCAAGGAATCCATGAGAAAAGAGAGAAACTCAGCAGTGCTCGGAGAAGACACCGAGAACCCTCATGGGATTTCTGATTTCTGCAGTAACAGGAGAACTCTGAGGAACCATTGGCTCTGAAACCAATCTCCTCTTTTTCAACACTTCAGCATCTGTGGTTGTGGCCTCTTGAAGCAGCTGTGAAGTGTTAAAAGCAAAATACCAAGCACAAGAAGCAAGAACCCTGTCAGGACCTAGGGCAGGGCACACTGGTGGGAGGGTGTGAGAACCCACTGCTCACCCATGCTCGTGCCACAGTCAAGGCAAATGTTAGCCACATGCAGAAATTACTGCAAAAAATACAAATACAGCTACAAATCTTGTCTAAAAATGAGTGTCTCCAGGGACAGAACCACCCCTAAGCCAGGCCAGCCTGCAGATTTAACTCAAAGTCCACAAATATGTGAAAAATGACAAAAACCATATGAAATCAGACAGGACTGGACCCAAACACTGAGGATCTCTCCCCAGGGAGGTGCATGTCCTGGATGCTCCTGCTCAGATATAACACCATCTCCTCCTGTTCTGCTTCTCCTGCTGGGTTTTGTGAGCAATGAAGCTACAAAAAAACCTCAGATATGTGAGAAAAAGAATTCTTGTGCATGCTCTACTCCCCGAGGATATTAAAGTAATAAGGGGAAAAACTGGGGGGAAATGTTTAAAATCCAGTCTCACATTTCAGAGCTCAGAATGAGCTCCAATGCCTACATCAAATTCTTAGGAAAAAGCCAATATTTTCCTGTAGGCAATGTGTATATACATATTTAATGTATAAACATATAGCTGTACATAAATATTAAAAATATAATTGATAAAATAATAAAATGCATATGTAAGTACATGAAAATGTAATCACTTTTGCCTCCCACATTATATATATAAAAGTACAGATATGTTTTTCCAGAGGAGTGGCAGGGAGCACAACCTGAAGTGCTACAGGAAAAAAGAAAAAGATAATTTTCAGTTCAAGTTCAGGGAAAAAATACCCCAAAACCAACAACAACAAATAAACACATCCAGAATGTCCCCAAAGTCTGGGTTTGGGGTGTTTTTCTTTTGTTGTTGTTGGTTTGTTTTGGTTTTTTTTTAAAGGACCTCTGGGACAAGCATAGTTTTCCACACAGATTTTGTATTAGGAAATACCCAACACAAAAAAAAAAAAAAAAA